ATAAGAACCAGACTGCAGAGAAGGAAGAATTTGAACACCAGCAGAAAGAGCTGGAGAAAGTCTGCAATCCTATCATTACCAAACTGTACCAGAGTGCAGGGGGCATGCCAGGAGGAATGCCTGGAGGCTTCCCTGGTGGTGGAGCTCCTCCCTCTGGTGGTGCCTCCTCTGGACCCACCATCGAAGAGGTTGATTAAGCCAACCTGAGAATAGGTCTAGCACTGTTCCACACAAAATATTCGAAGGACCCAAATTTGTAGCAAATTCCATGGCAGTTTTAATGTTGAGCTGCTATAGTAAATAAACTGGGCATTCTTTATACTTGAATATGGAATACGTGCACAGGGAAAGGAAATAAACATTGCACTTTATAAGCACTGTATTGTTAAGTGGAAAATGCAATGTCTTAAATAAAACTGTATTTAATTGGCACCAAAAAAAAAAAAAGACATAAACCTAGGTCTTAGATTAAATATCAGGGCACGAAGAGGTTTTTGCTAGAAGAGGGTGGTGGTAGTGATGGTTGAACATTGCAAGTAAAAGAAATACATGTGCAAAGGCCCTGAGATGGGAAGGAGTGGACTTCTTGAAGTAGGAAAAGCAAGGAGAAAGAGATTTCTGGAAATATTTGCACCTAATTCCTGCTATCATGATAAAGTAGAGCTTTTGAAACTGTTATGGATGTGTTTTAATATTTTTACAACTAGCCTGGTGGTACAGAGCAAACTGGATGAGTGTTGGTCTTGAAAGTTCATGTTTCCTTGAACATGCTTTGGAAACATACTCTATGCAATTGCATAGAGACAACAACAGCAGCAACAACAACAAAACAACAAACAAGGCATTTTTGAGAAATAGGAAATGATTTTGCTTGCTACAGAGAGGACTGTAGGTAGATGTCTGGTTTCAGATAAAGTTTGATGTGCACTCTGAGCAGATAGTGGAAAGCTCTCAATTTGTTTTGTTTTTTGTTTTTCTACCATATAATCAGTTTATTATTGTTGTTTTTATTTTTTACATTTTTATTTTTTTCCAGCCTTATTGAGATATTATTGACATGCAACATATGTAAGTTTGGAGCATACAGTGTGATGATTTGACACATGTATATATTACAAAATGATTACCACAATATGAATAGTTAACACTTCCATCTCCTCACATGATTACCTTTCTGTGCGTATGTGGTGGTAACACTTAAGATCTACTCTTTTAACAACTTTCAGTTATATAATATTGTTAATTGTTGTCACCATACTGCATATCAGTTCCCCAGAAATTATTTATCTTATAGCTTGGAGTTCGCACCCTTTGACCAACATCTCCCCATGTTACCCACTCCCTTCCCAGCCCCTGGTAACCATCATTCTACTCCATTTCTCTGAGTTCAGCTTTTTAAGAATGTGCATATAGCTGTGAACATAGTTTTTGTTTTTATCTGACATATTTTACTTAGCATAATGCCCTCAAGGTCCATCCATGTTGTCACAAAAGGCAAGATTTCCTTCTTTCTCATGGCTAAATAAAATCCCATAATATATGTAATATAATATATATCATATTCCTATATATATTTCATATTTTCTTTATCCATTCATCTGTTGATGGATGCTTAGGTTGTTTTCATAACTTGGCTATTGTGAATAATGCTGCAATAAGCATGGGGGATGCAGACCTGAATAAATGTGTTTTTTATTCGCTAAATGTTGACACTAGCAACTTAACTTTGCTTGTAGAGCTGGATGCTGAGAGCTGCCTCTGCATCCTAAGTTGCCCTGGCCCTTCAACTGGCACCTTCTACCTCCTCTCCATGATCTGGGACATGCCTGATATTGCAGAGGGCTTCCGGGACCTTTCTAGCATTCATTCTGATTAATGTTTATTCATTATTGGTTATTAAATACTTTGAATGTCATTTCTGCTAGTTCCATAGAACTATTATAGAAAAAAAGGTCTGTGTTCAAATAGGTTGGAGACATAAGAGAGAAATATGTGTCACTGTCTCCAAACATGCTTGGGAGCCTCTCTGCCCCCAAGTAGCAGCTTATGAACCCAGGGATCCACAGAGTAAACTGGAAAAACTCCTGATTTGCCTCTTCCCATCTTACATTCCTCCCTTCTCTATGCCATCTCCACCCTGCTGCTCTAGCTCTATTTTTTTTAATTTTTTTAAATTTTAGTTTATTATGTTATATTAGTCACCATACATTACATCATTAGTTTTTGATGTACTGTTCCATGATTCATTGTTTGTGTATAACACCCAGTACTCCATTCAATACGTGCCCTCCTTAATACGCATCACCGGGCTAACCCATACCCCCACCCCCCTCCCCTTTAAAACCCTCAGTTTGTTTCTCAGAGTCCATAGTCTCTCATGGTTCGTCTCCCCCTCCGATTTCCCCCCCTTCATTTTTCCCTTTTTATCCCTTCCCTTGTTGGTGTAATGTATCAAGTTGATTTGTGAATATTGAACCACTCTTGGAACCCAGGAATAAATCCCTCTTGATCATGGTGAATAATTCTTTTAATGTATGCTAGATTCAGTTTGCTAATATTTTGTTGAGGATTTTTTTTATTATTATGTTAATCACCATACATTATTACATCATTAGTTTTTGATGTAGTGTTCCATGATTCATTGTTTGCGTATTTCTAAAACACAGATGTGACTAGGTTGTCTTGCTTACACACTTGATAATTTCTCATGTCTGCAGAATACAGGCCAAACCCCTTATCAGAGACTTCTTCAAGATTCTTTACCAAGTGTCACCTACCACCTGTTAACACTGTCATTCTCAATCCCTCTCACGAGGCCTGTGTATGGCCCAGACACACAGGACTACTTTGAACTTGGTGAAGACTTCATGGCTCCTCTCTAGTCTCTCATCATCCACCCCTGCTCCTGCAGAGCCCAGTGTGAATTGTACTGTTCTTATGAAGTCATTATCAGTTTCTTTACTCCAAATGAGTCCCTCCTTCCTCCTCTCAGCTCTCATAGCAATTTGTTCACATTGAGAGCATTTATCCTAGGCCCAATTATATTATTGTTAGCCATGCCCTGTCTCTTCTTCTCTACCGTGAGCTCTTCAAAAGCTGGCAGCATGTAGTGTTCATCCCCTAACAGCCACTCTGCCCCACTCCTGGCTACCTCGTGTCTGACTTCACACCTTGCACCCCATTTTGCTGTTGTTTCATCAACCTGGGCTAACCAGGAAAACAAGAGACATTGTTCTTTTCTTTTTTTTTTTAAGAGAGAGAGTGTGCAGGTGGGGCAGGAGAGAGAGAGAGAATCTCAAGCAGGCTGCATGCCTAATGAAGAGCCTAATGTGGGGCTGGATCTCATGACCCTGAGATCATGACCTGAGCTGAAATGGTGAGTCAGACGCTTAACCGACTGAGCCACCCAGGTGCCCCTTGACATTGTTGAAAGAGCCCTGGGTCAGAAGATCTGGCGTTCAGGGTAAGCACTGGCCCTGAATAGCCATGTGGCCAGGGAAAGTTGCATGAGATCAGAGGTACCCTGGGCTTATTTCTTCAAAGGATCAGTGAAGAGTCCAGCCCAAGTGCAGCTTCTCTACAGTATTTTGTCTAACCTTGTATGTATAAAAATCCATTGGAATTTTAAACATTTGTACTGTCAGGCCCATCTGATGTGCTCAGGAAATATTAATATTTTTCTACTGCCAGTGCATTCCCCACCTACAAGATCTAGGTGTCCTTAGTTTCAGATTTTGGCTACTAGATCAGTACCAAAGGTGATCTAGGAAGCCCTTTCTAAAAACCATCAGAACTACACTGGAGAGCAGGAGTGACAGCTAGAAAATCCCACTGGCTGATCCAAACATCTTTCCTCTTCACTTAGAGCCCCTCGACAGTCTGGCCACGGGTATTCAAGCCCCACAGAGAGGACCAGCAGGGCTTTAACATGCAAATATGATCTTTACTGCCTTGCCTTAAATCTGCCAATGATCAATAATGCTTTTAGGACCATGTTTAAATGACTGGATGCGCACCGATGTGTGATTTTATCCACGCTCCTCTCTTCTGGCTGTATCATTATTCACTTCTTGTTGCAGTCCACAAATCACTAGCCAATCCCTATAAAATACAGGACACCCAGTTAACTTTGAATTTCAGATAAATAACAAATAATATTTTAGTGTAAGTATGTTCCAAATATTGAATGGGGCATATTTCTACAAAAGCATTATTATTTTCTTTTTACCTAAAATTCAAATTTAACTGGGCATCCTGCATTTGTATTTGCTAAATCTGGCAACCTTGTCTATCATATCAGGTGGTCTCAAGGACCCTTGCCTTTTTCCTGGTGTCATTTCTTCCATCAACAGCCTCTTTTCCCATTTCCTCCTACTTCACATCCACACTTCATTTAATACTCTTTTCATTTCTTCTGAAAAGCCCGCATCACCTCTCATTTTAATTTAGATGTTTTTCTGTGGTACCCTGGGCTTATGTCTAATAGACTACTTATAAACATCTATTCTACTTAGTTTTTGTATATTTATCTGACTTACTAAGCTAGACATTTCTTGAGGATAGGATCCATGGTTGTAGTCTGTTTATGTTTAGAAACTAACAGAACTCCTGGCATTTAATAGCTGTTTAATAATGCTTGTTTGTTGAGTCAAATGGTGTCATTTTACTAGCTTTTGAAAGCACATAGAGAAAAACACACAGGCAGAAGCCTAGGTTTCTGGGTTAAAAAAGAAGGTATCAGACATCAAAATGGCTAACTTGTTTCCAGATGGTCACATTCACAGGGCATTTCATGGGACTGCAGTGAGGATGCAGACTGTAGACACAAGAAGAGGGACATCCCAGGAAGGCATGGTTAGAAACATCATGGCCAGAGATCTAAAACATAGAGATGAGACCGGAAACAAGACATAGTGTCTTGGAAGCCTATTATCCTCAGTGTCCCCATGGAAGAATGTCAGTTCAATGAGAATTTGACAGTGAAGAAAAGATGGATTACTAGCTGACAATTAAACAAAAGCTAGCCCATGAAACCTTTTCCTTTGTAAGAATTTTATCAGGAGACAGTCTGGTTGGCTCAGTCAGTAGAATATGTAAGTCTCAATCTCAAGGTTGTGAGTTCAAGCTCCATGTGGGGCATGGAGTCTATGTTTGTTTGTTTTTTTTATAAGATTTTATTTATTTATTTGTTGGCGAG